TCAAATTTTACTCACAAGTAATTGAACTTGATGGATTTTAATCAACCAAACATGAAAAATCCAAACTTTGTTCAACATGGAATTTAGGGTTAGGGTTCCAATCATTTAAACCTTTAAAGATTAGAACTTTAACATTATAGGAACTTAAAATTACAAGATCACAACAAGCTTTCACATTTTATTGCAATTTATTTGCAAAATTTGTGAAAAACAAGTTTATGTGAAAAAATGGTATATCAACTTAAGCACTAATACTCTATTATTATGCTTAAGGATATTTTAAAACCAGTAGATTAGTGATGCAAATGTGCATTTAATCTAACCTTGTAATGCTTGCATTAATCAAGGCTTAAAAGAATTAAAAATTTCGTTGAAAAACAAAAAAACCCCAGAAAAATTGGGTTTCTGGTTCGAATTTGGCTTATGGACAGTCCTAGAAGGGTTGAATCTGTTCCAAAATGTCGATTCCACCCAAAAATCACTATTTTTGAGCCAAAATCTGGGTTCGACAGCCAAATCGAAATTAAAATCGAGTTTTGAAATTAATTAAAACGATCATCTAATCTAATTAGAAGAACATGAACCAGAAAAATAAATTCTTTTAAAACACCTTAATTAAAAAATAATTGCAAAAATTAAAAGGAGCGTGGCTCTGATACCACTGTAGGGTTTCATAGTGACCCGACACTACGCGAAAGGAAACCCACCAAGACCCGCCCCTTAATTAAAACAATTAACAAGCATATTAAACTTAATCAAACAAGATTAAGAACAAGAATTATACCTTTGTCGCGTGCTTCGCTCCCAAAGAGCTCTTACTTCAAAATCCCGAAAACACGAGATCTTCGACGGATCGTACCCTCGACCCGACCCGAGCGTCCTAAGTCTTGAAGGTTAGTCAAGACCCGGACAAAATAACTATGAGTTTTACGAATCAAAGGTTTACTCTTAATTAGAGTTGCCTTTTTAATTCCACTCAAGGTTGTTCATTCCTAAATACCCAAGCTTGGTATATATAGGGAAATGAACCCTTGATTTTTCATCCTCCACCAATGTGGGAGTGTTGAATATCAATGATTTATTTAATTTCCAAATTAAATAAATAATCAAGTTAATCACATTTCGACAAGTGGCATGATCATATGCAAAAGAGTGGTGGCCAAGGTTAGGTGGGGGACCATATGCCTTGCTCCCCAAGGCCTTGATTTGGTCCCCACATCCTATGCACTAAACCGGATCAAGGGAGGCTAGCTGGCTACAAGCTAGCGTGCCAGCTAGGGCTGCCAGCTAGCACTGCCTTGCTGCCCAGCACCCCAGCCAGCCGACCAGTGCGTGCTGCTGCTGGGCTGGTGCTTGTGCTGTGTGCTGGCGCTGGTGCGTGCTAGTGCCATGCGATGGTGCGTGCTGGCGCTGGTGCTATGCCTCGCATCTCTCGCACTATTGCTAGCATGGCCAGCATGCGTGCTGCTAGCGAGCCACGCATGCTGGCCCCTTTCCCTCGCATCATGCTACACACTACGCACCACGCTACGCACCACGCACTACTCGCACACGCATCAGCCAGTGCCTAGCACTGCTATGCTTAGTGCGAGGCACGCACACACACACATGCACATGCGCTAGTGCCCAGCACTGCGATGGTTGTGCTTGGTGCGTGTGTGGCCCTACCATGTGCACCCAGGCACCCAGGCTAGCACGCTGCTAGCTGCGATGGGCTGCCTGGTGCTTGTGGTGCTTGCGATATGCTGCCATGCGCACCCAGGCATCCATGCTAGCACGCTGCTAGCTGCGATGGGCTGCCTGGTTCTTGTGGTGCTTTGCGATAGGCTGCCATGGCACGCCTAGGCTGCGATGGTGCACCTAGGCTGCGCCTAGAGCTTGCGATGGGCTGCCATGACACGCCTAGGCTGCGATGGTGCGCCTAGCCATGCTAGGTGCATGCTAGCTAGAACTAGCCTAGCATCCACATGGCTAGGCCAGTGTGTTGCTAGGGCTATGTTCATACTTGTCGCTTTTTGATTTTACGACGCTCGGTCTCGACGCCCTAGGCTCGATATCCGACGTCTGTATTCGTAAAACTCTGTCGACTCATTAAATCCTTTCGGATTAATTCGTCGTCTCGGATCGGTGATTCGATTGGGTTCGACCCGAAGGGTTCAGTTAAGATTAAGCTGTAACATCAATTTTACATTGATATTACTAATCGGAAGCGGCCTCCACGTAGGCATTCCGATCACTTGACCTTACTGAAGAATTAGCTACGTAATAATTCTGAACCCTCTATCAGAAGAATACACTTGTTGGAAGGACACCATTCCTTTCATAAAGAGATTATCTGATAATAGCGAAGTTGACAGTATTGGCGTATTGGGTAAATAAAATAAAATAAACCAACAGCTAAGTTGGGTTTTTCATTACATACCCCTGACTAAATTTGTACAACAACTTTCAAAATTGTTCATACCAACAATGTTCCTCATAATGACAACATTGTTACCTTCAATATTAAGTGTTAACATAATAGGTTGATAAACCAAACTTTCAAAATAAACAAATATATAGTAGTTCAACTTCATTGTTAGATTTTTTGTACAATTAATATATTAATATGAACAAGGTAGTTTCTAATTCCGAAAACACACCAAAACAAATATAATGAACAACATAGACAGGAGCAGGCGTTTGACTGTTGATAAATTTGTGCGGATATCCACCATAGAGTTCGCTATTGGACCTAACCTAGCTTCAACAAGTCGCGTCGGAATAAAAAACATTCAACCGTATTATGTTGTCCTCTTCCACCCATTTAAAGGAGTTGCATTTCCTGCACTTGTAGTACAACCTGCCTGGATTCAAACTAGATTTAGAAAAATGTACATACTGAGTATGTCTAAAAGAGTACATACATTGTAAGGGCATTGATAAGCTTCGAGCCACATTATTTTCTGCTCATGTTGCCCGTCAATCACCAAAGGCCTTCCAGTTAAAAAAACGAGACATTTTTAAGTGAATGATAAAATAGGGAATAATAATCTTGTTTCTTTTTTTTTTTTGAAATATGGTTTTTTTTTTGTCTGGTCTATAGGGGATATGGATATCACACACATCTTCCTTTTTATAGTCCATATGAAATCACAATGGCAGTCCAATTTTGTAAACAATTTTAATTTCAAATTTTGTAAATTTTGGGTATCGACAGGAAGCGGGAGTTTTCTCGCTTCGATCGCAATTTAAATGGGCCATGTGTCAAGTTCAGTACTTTTTGGTTATGGTACACCAATTAAGCATGCTTTAAACAAGCAAGACCATTTATGTACCAACTAGTATTATCACATATAATGTTGGTGTAAAACATAGACCAAATATAGGCGTTTGTATAGCAACGTAAGGTAATGACATATGTGTTCAGTAATATCAATAACAATGACAATGTATTTGACTTCCATTTGATTCGATAAACTTTGTCTGAATGAGTCTGATTTCCATTATTTGATTTCATTATCTTTCTTGAATGATAATTTGTTCAATCCAGATCCATTTGATTTGATTGTAAAAGCTTTTGTTGAATGCATTTCACTTTCATATGACTGAATTAGCTTTGTTGAATGCATTTGATGTTTGTATGATTCAATTATCTTTGTTGAATGCATTGACTTTGATATGATTGAATTAACTTTTATTGAATGTGTTTGTGTTTCATAAGATTCACAATTAGCTTTGTGTAAATGTATTTGACTTTTATCTTATTAAACTGATTAAATTGAGTCAATTAGCTATTGTTCAAATCTAATTTGACTTTCATCTTATTCAATTGATTCAATTACCTTTGCTCAATGCATTTAACTTTCCTATTATTCAATTGCTTCAATTAGCTTTGTGTGAATGCATTTGACTTTCATCTTATTCAACTGATTGGATTAGCTTTTATAGAATGCGTTTGTGTTTCATATGATTCAATTGATTCAATTAGCTTTGTCTCAATGATATCAAAGTTCATGTTATTCAATTAGCTTTGTTTCAATGCGTTTCATAATCAGCTTATTCAATTGATTCAAGTAGCATTGTTTCAATACATTTCACTTTCATCTTAGTTAATTGATTTAATTATTTGACTTTGATTCAGTTAGCTTTGGTTGAATGCATATAACTTTCATTTTATTCAATTAGCATTGTTTGAATGCATTTGTCTTTCATATGATTCAGTTAATTTGTCCATTGCATTTGACTTTCATATGATCCAGGTAGATTTGTCCGTTGATTTTCATATGACTTAGTTAGCTTGCATTTGACTTTCATATGATCCAATTTAGCTTTGTTTGAATGCATTTGACTTTCATATGATTCGATTTAGCTTTGTTTGAATGCATTTGACTTTCATATAATTCAGTTAGCCTTTAATGAATGCAATTGAGTTTCATATGATTCAGTTACCTTTCTCTGAATGCATTTGATTTGCATTTTTTATTTAATTAGCTTTGTTGAATGCATGTCACTTTCATGTTATTCAGTTAGCATTGCTCGAATGCATTTGATTTTCATATGATTTAGTAGTTAGCTTTGTTGAATGCATTTGACTTTCATATGATTCAGTTACCATTGTTTGAATGCATATGACTTTCATATGGTTTAGTTAGCTTTGTTGAATGTATTTGACTTTTATGTGGAGTCATTTACTTAGTGTGTTGTTTGAATGCATTTAACTTCTATTGGAAAGTGATCGTACGACGCTACTACATTTAAAGGTCTATTGTAACATCAAAATTTGTTACAGAATGGCTTAAATTCGTTATAATAGACCTATTGTAACACCTTGGGCTTTGTTATATTTGCTGCCGTAACAATAGATCTATTGTAACGATAGTTAATCAATTGTGACAACATATATTGTCTATTGTAACGCATCCCACTATTATTAGAAGGTATTACAATTGGTTTGTCCTAGTTACAATAAAGTACAAAAATAACAGATATTCTCTCCAAATTTGTTGTAAATCCTTTTACAATATGCAACAAGATACAATTCTAATGTAACGCCCTTGTTGAACATTATTTTTTCGTTATAAATACTACGTACGTATGAAATTCATGAACAATATATTAGCATCCAAAAGATTTGATTACAAAATCAAATTTTATAGTTTACATAATCTTAAACCTACAACTTCCTAAACTTCACAAAGTCCATAAAGTTACAAAGTTAATACTACCGAGAAATAAATAATCTAGCTAGTGCATTCACGCTTATCCCAAAAGGTTACATTACTCACTAACAATAAGTACCTAACAGTTAAATTCTAATGCATAAAATGATTATTCATCATTTAATAATTTCCTTCATTGGCTTGGACATTTTTTGCCTGCAAAAAAAAAAAAAAAAAAAAAAAAGGTGCAACAGTCTATCAGAACCAAAAAAAATGTATTAAAAAAAAAGTAACATTAACATACCAAACACCCATTGAATTCTAAGACTAAACAACAAAAATATAATTGATAAAACATTGAACACAAAGTATCACAAAAGTTTGATAACAGAAACCACAATTAAATTGGAAGAGAAGATTCACAGTCACATCCTCCATTCCTAACCAGAAAAGAGTACCACTTAATGGAGTATTTACTTTCAATAAGGAAATTCTTAAGGCTAAACCTTCATTATAAAAAAAATTTGGGCTTCTAAAGAAACTGATTCTAATTCTATCAAATACATTGTTTGGCCTAATTTCAGTTTCTTAACTAGAGAAACTACTCTAAAAACTTGTCTAAACACTAGCTATAACTAATATAAAAAACAAATTTATAGAGGAAGAAAGTATTATATTTAAAAAGGATAAAAAATTATATAGCTAAAACAACTTTGAGAGGGAGAGTTTTTTTTATTTTAAGGAGTGAGTATAGAAAGAAAAGGGCGGGATATATATTGAATGAAAAGAAGAGGGAGCAAAATGGAACTAAATAAAAATTACGCCTATACTTAAAAAAAAATAAAAATAAATAAATAAATAAATAAATAAAAATAAATAAAAACCTAATATTCCGAAGAAACTCTTACATTTTGCTGACCATGTGGATCACTAGACTCGTCTCTTAGTACAACTCCAAAATTCGGAATGCCAAGACTAATATTAGGATTAGTAGCCTTGATTTGAGAAAGTATAAGAAATGCAACATTTTGTGCAATGTCCTGGGTTAAATCTGCTTTGACACTTTCTAAGAATTCTTCAGGAAGTGTATAGCTTGTCTTTTTTTCATTTTTTTTGCATCTTAGACTTAGTCCTGCCTCATCCATGAAGGCGCATATATCCCTTTTTCTTATCCGTGCCCATCACTTCATCATAAGGATCTTTATTAGCTGATTCTCCACATTGTTGTTCAGATTGTAACATCATCATCTTATCCCAAGTAAGAACATAAATATAAAAATAAACACAACCACACGACCAATTATAATAACAATAAATAGAATAATAAAGTAAGTTGAACCTGAAGTTATTAACAACCAAACTACAAGCCAAAAGCTAAATTATTTGAAAACACAATCTAACATATATTATGTACATATTCTGCCCACACAATACAGAAGCTAGAAAGACATTAGTAGCAAATTTGACAACAACCTCAATAATTAGAACCAAACGTTATAAAGAACTTAAATTAAATAAACTACTTTCATTACTCACAATATGTTCTGTAGGCTTATCGGCTTTTGTCAAGTACTGCTTTCCCGGTGTTCTCTTTCTAGACTCTTTATAAACTTGAGCTTGAGATGGTGATTGCTTATTTGGGTCTTTTTGTTGTTATTGGAAATGTAGAAGTAGTTAAACATATATAAATGGAAATTTATGAATGAAATACCAAAAAAAAATCATAATTCAAGTAATATCAACAAAATGACAATTACCAATTCATGACGCAGTAATGCAAATGAATTAGCAGGACCCATAGTGTGACGGTCATCGTGCATGAGGCGATTCGATCTATTTTTATTACTTTCTTCCTATACATTATTACAAGTAGTAATAAAAAAATAAAAAATAAAAAAAGTTTTTATGTAAAGATATGATTACAATGTAATCTTAAATTAATACACTAAGTTATTAACACCATAACATAAAAACAGTTAGTTACCTTAATTTCCTCTAAGTTCCAGTAGTTTAAGAGATCCTTAAACTATTGTTCAAACATGGTTTCAGGAGGATCATTCAGCCTTTCTTCATCAGTTTCATATTTATAGTAGTGTTCCTTCTTCACCCTTGCTTTATATACACGCCATAAGTTTTAACGCATGACATTACCCACTATTGCCCATCTCCAGGAATCATATACTTCTCCTGCATAAATATTAAATTTATTTAACAATACTAGCTTCTTACTATCCTTCAAATTATATGTAGAATAGTGGCATAAGTATACATACCAAAATATAATCCCACATTTTTTCTTTAAACTTGGAGGGCAAACTAGTCCAATCGCAGTAGTTTAGTGGTGCTAACTTGGAATCCCTAGCTATAGTGCCCAAAAATCGACTTAACTCTCCACACACCTCCTTAGTAGTTCCTATTGGTTGACCATATTCATTCAACACAATTACTGGGCGACCTTCAAATTTTCGATTATGCACCTCAACCATTACTGTAGGCCCTCTTGTTTTCTTGATTGTAGAAGCTACATTTAATTAAAATTTCCACGTTAATAAATAGAAATATAAAGTGAGAAAAGGAAAAAGGAAAAAAAAAACAAGAAAGAGAAATAAGAAAAAAAAAATTATTATGACTCCACCAATACAGTTCGTTGTCTGAAACTACAGTTAATAAAGAAGAAGAAGATATAAATAAAATTGAAATGGCATGTAATTACCTTTTTTTGTAGTAGTTGTCACTAACTGTTGTGTTTCTTTTTGGAATTCATTTTCATTAGCCAGCATTGGGAAATCTTCTGCTACCTTGTTCGTATTAGAACTGAACGCCCTTAATGGTGATGCCCTAATATTATTAACATGATCATCACTCCCTTGTTCATCTTCTTGCTCATCATAATATTCTTCATTATGATGCATTTCCATACCTCCTGTAGTGCTCTTAGCATGTTGCTGCTTTTGTCGCATCTTTGAGTACAAAGACATGGATCCAGGAAGAACTCTTTGAGCTTTTTTCTGCATCACAAGATTCTTGGGCTGTTTTTCTTTTGGACATTTACATGTATAAATTATTTTCTTATTCCTTTCAAGTAATGGTACCACTTCTTGTCGTTCTTTTTCTTGTACCACTGTGGCTTGTTTTACTCTTGATCTTAGGTTCACATAATCACCCATAGTTTGACTACGTGTACCTTTTTTCCTTTCTAACTTGCGCTTTTTCCTCTCTTTGAATCCTACATGGTTTACATATATTAGCCAATACAGTAGCATTATTAGTCCCATAAAATCATAGTATTAAATAATAAAAATTAAAAAAAAATCAGTTTTTTTAAATTTTTACCATCAAAGAGCTTACTTTTACAGCAACTCGATCCTCTTCACTGTTATGTTCTTCATCACGTTCATAATCTGACTCTTCTTGATCACTCCAACCCTCAACAGCTTTTTCATAATCGTAAGCCTTTGGATAAAAAATAGTCTTACTTGCTAAACAAGTGGTAAAACCTACTGCTAGAATTCTTTGTTTATTAGATGCTAATCTCTTGAGCCTATCTTTCTCATACTCAGTCAAATTTGCAGCTCCATAAAATTCACATTTGATCCTTTTTCCCATCTACATAAATGAGCAAAATGTAAAAGATTATATATATGTATGTAAAACAACATAAAGATAATAAATCTAAACAATGCATAAGTAAAGATACAAGCTGAGTTCTCACATTCTTCGTTAGTATCTAGATAATTACTAGAAATATTTCCAACATAATACCAATCCTTATTTTTTGGATCTTTAACATAAAAAACCTGATGTGCTTGAGAAGCTAAAATGAATGGTTCTTCTTTGCAAATGCACTTTTTACAATTGACTCGAATCAAACCATTACCATTTTTCTCCACATGGAACCACACACACTTAAATAACATAAAACTAAATTTTCCTTTTGGATAATGAACTTCAATTATTTCTTCAATCGAACCATAATAAGAAATCTCTCTAACTATTGGATTTTTATCCCTACTAGAAAAACTAGTAGTTTCAGCAATCAAACTGACTCCATTGTTGTCAGTTACAGAATTCGCATCACGTTTCAATGTGTGAAACTTGTAGCCATTAATAGATTCACCTGTGTATCTCTGGACTATTTGAGAAGGCCCTAAAGATAACCATTTGACATGATCTAATATATGATGACCTTGTTGAATCTTTTCATCAGCTCTTTCGTGAAACCAATCAACAAAATCTTTGTTATGGCTTTGAAAGCTAGCCCATTTTCTCTGTTTTGAATGGCAAAGAGAAAGCCTATGATCACTGTAATCAAACATCAGTATTATATACTATTAAAAATAATTCTAAAAAAAAAGTGAATAAAAATAATATAAAAAATCATGTTAAGTTATCTTACTTGATGTATCTCTCAAACTCAGCAAATATCACGATTAAATAGGATATATCGTTGCACTTGAGTCCATGTCTTAAAATCAATCTTATAACCACTAAATCTCTTCTTGTTGGTCTTTCCTCTACCCCTTTAAGGAAAACCCTTCCTTCGAAATAGAGTTTCTAGGACAAAAGGCTTACTTAGCTTAGCTGTGGAACTTTTGGTTTCACGATTCAAATATCGAGCACACAACCTAATACATTCCTCTAAGTACCTTTATGCCATTGAGGCCTCGGGTTGAGCCTTGTTTCGAACATATGACTTTAACTTTTGCAGATATCTTTCTATATCATACATGCACCTTGAAGCAATTGGCCCGCCAAAGTCTAATTTCTTCCACTAAGTGAACAGGTAGATGAACCATTATGTCAAAAAATGCAGGAGGAAAATATCTTTTCTAGCTCACAAAGAGTCTAAGCAATCTCTTTTTGCAAATGCTCAAGGTCTTCTGGATTAATTTCTTTAGACCAGACATCTTTGAAAAAGGAACACAATCTTACTAAAGTAATAGCGACATCCTTATGTATTGTTGTGCTCGCAGCCATTGGAAATAAGTGGTGCATCATGAAATGTGCATCATGGCTTTTATAGCCTGCAATTTTTCTTTCTTTCACCTGCACAAAATGCTTGATATTAGACCCGCAATTTTGTGGTATCTTTTCATTTTTAAAGACTTAACAAAATGTGCGCTTCTCATCTAGTGACATCCAAAATCGTGCCTTTGGAATTGATTTTGTACCATCTTCAGATTGTCTAGGTTGAAGCTCTGACATAATGTTAAGTTCCACTAAGTCCTTACATGCAAATTCATGGTCTTTAGTCTTTTTAGGTATTGCTAATAATGTCCCAAGCACACTATCAAACACATCTTTCTCTATGTGCATTGCATCAAGGTTATGACGACATTTTTTGTCCTTTCAATAAGGCAAGTCAAAAAGTTTGGACCTTTTCCTTCAAGGGTTTCCTTCATAATTTTCCTTTGGTTGCATTTTTCCAAAAACATTCTGAAAGTGACACAACAATTCAGAAACTTTTGCCCCTATCAAGCAAACAGGTTTACCTCTCTCCTCTGTCTTGCCATCAAATTGCCTCTTATTACTTCTCCAAGGATGGTCCATATCTTAAAATTTGCGATTAACCCTATAACAAGTCTTGTTACTAAATGGTAAGGTAGTTGAAGAAGTTTCATAGTGGCAACACGGGCATGCTAACTTGCCTTTTGTGCTCCACCCTGATAGCATTGCATAAGCTGGAAAATCACTAATGGTGGAGTGTAAGGCAGCTCTCATGTTAAATATTTGATTACTTGAAGCATCATAAGTTTCCAATCCAATATTCCACAACTCTTTTAAATCTTTAATCAATGGTTGCATATAAACATCAATTTCCTGACCCGGGGATCAAGGACCTTGGATAAGCAGCGAAAGCATAAGAAAGTCCGACTTCATGTACATTGAAGGAGGCAAATTATAATTGATGAGTATAACTGGCCATGTACTATGGACAATATTCATGTTGTTAAATGGGTTAAAACCATCGGTTGCTAACCCCAACCTTACATTACGAGGATCTTTAACAAAGCATGGGTACATAGAATTGAAATCCTGTGAAGCCTCGCTATCTGCCAGATGTCTCAACATACCATCTTTTAACCGCCCATTTTCATGCCACGTCATGTAATGAGCAGTTTCTGGACATATATACAATCTTTGTAACCTTTTTTTAATGGGAAAGTTCCTCAAAATCTTGGCAGGAATCATACGAGATGCTTCTGTTGTTGTACTTGTGCTTTCAGATTTCCATCTAGAAGTATTACAAACTGGACAATAGGTAGCATCTACATGCTCCTCCCAATATAGTACACAATCATTTGGACACGCATCTATCTTAATATAATCAAGGCCTAACACTCTTAAATCATTTTAAGCTTCATTGAAAGAAGATGGAAACTTTGTATCTGGTATCAAAGACCTAAACAACCCTAATAATTCAATAAATGTAACATTATTTAATTTATGGTCACACTTAAAAAGAAACAATCGAATTGTAAAGGCATGTTTAGAAAAAGTCTTGCAACCAGGATATAATTCTTGTTGGCCCTCTTCAATTAACTTGTAAAACTCTTGGGTTTCCTTATCAAGACCAAAGCTAAAAGTGTCATGCATCAAACCATCCATATTATCATTAAAATGTGGATGAACACCATTATCAAATGTTGGCATTTGTTCATTGTTCTTTGACTTAGAGTTGTGGTTCTCTAATCTAGATACAAAACCCTTACAAATGATATGATCCCTCACCACATGTTTATGATACCAGTATGGATGGCAACACTTGTTACATGGGCAAAAAATTTGATCTCCTTGTGATTCAGTTGCAAAATCCTTGTCTAAGTAGTCATCAACGCCATTTTCATACTCATTAGACCACTTAGAAAATTTCCACCACTCTTGTTTTTCACTACCCATGACCTAGAGTTACAACATCACATAAATCTTCACTATTACATGTATTTTCAAGAGTGAATTTTAATCAATTTTTTTTTCATATTTGGTTACAAGTGTGAATTTAAATCAAATTTATGTAATTTTATACATATATAAATACACTATTATAAGCAATCTTAATACCAAAGTACAATAGGATCTAATTAAACTAAGGTTATAATGAAAAATAACATTGAAATAAATAATTTCAGATTTAAAGATAATGTATTGCAACCAATCCACCTTGGGAATATAAATAAGTTTATAAACACATCAATATTGTCTATTATATATAAACAAGTTTATAAGCACTTTAATAGAGTAGGATAAAAATTAAAGAAAAATATATATACCTGAAAAATTGGCCTTAATTAGAAGCGTTGTAGAGTTCTTGTATAGTTGATAAATTTGTCCAAGCACCTTTCAAAAAATTAAACCATTTACAATGCCACTAGACCAATATACAAGCAAGTTTCAAAAAAAATAAAAAAAAAACAAAAAACATCATCAACATACAAGCATCCAATTGAGTTTTCTTATCAAAAACATGATTATCCAATTATAAAACAATTAAAAGACAATGATAAATTGAAATTCAAAATAGAATATTGTTATAGAACCGAAAATACAAGTTCTATTCCTTATTATAATGTAGATTATCGTGTCAAAACCATTAACTTTAAACAAGAACTAACTATTAAAAAATTTACAAAAAAATTATCATGATCTTTAATTACTCTATCATCACAAGCAAGGATAAAAGTTGTTAGAATAATTTACTAGAACAAACTATTTATTGCTATAATTACAAGTGTAGCCCAAAAGTATAATTTAAGATTAAAAGGAGTATAGATTGTCATTAACATATGGATTTAATTGCACTTTTTTAAACATATATACCCTCACAACTCAAAATATATTTCACTATTATTAACTTCAGAGACACACATACATACACATTATTATTACAGAGCACACACCGACGTATCAATGTTTGGTATATTATATAATAATTTCTGTCTTGGTAAAAAGACTAGCATTGACACAAATATTATATACAGAGCACCAACGTATCACTTCAGAAATCTGATATATTATTATTACAGAGCACCTACGTATCAAAGACACTTCAGAGATTTGTTATATTATGCATTTTTTCTGTATCAAAGTATCTCATATACTATTTTCTGCCTTGGTAAAAGACTTGCATGGGCACAAATATTATATAAACTTTATCTTAACCAGTGGGTTCTGAAGTACTTCAAGCTCTATTCATTGACACATTCATGTTTGACAAATTAGATGAGGATATCATACAAGGCATCTAATAGCAAAATATAATTACTTTACACCTTTCTTATAATTTTTCACACTATTATTCTATAAAAAGTGTGGGGGATGCTGCATATAGATAAATATACACAAATAGATTTGCACAAATAAAGACATACACACTAAAAATCAATTCACCAACTCTACAACTCACAAAGAAAGAATATACGTAGCAAAATCACTCCATCCAACACAAAAAAGTCAACAACATCAAATTACCCATATAATTGTAGTTCATCATATATATTTAACCGATTTTACACCAAAAAAAAAACAAATCAACGATTCTATATGACTACATGTAGTACCAATTTCATCTTTTATTTTATTTTTTTTATTTTTAAACACCCAATTTCATCTTTAACAACTTACTACATATAAACTTAGATCTAAATTGTATATATAAAAAAAACTATTCATTAAAATAGGAAAAAAATATCTTGAATCTTACCTCTGTTAAATGAAGCTGTTGAATAAGTAAAATCTAGTAGATGAAGAGTACTCTATCAAATAAGTTGAATGTTACCCACAATTCTAGTGAATTGGAGTCAAAATACCAGTGAAGTGAAAGAAAAAGAGGGATTTATTGATTGGTGTTTGGAAGATTTTCTCAACTATTAACTTCAATTACTCATACCCAAGTAGAATTATAACTCAATTTTGGAATTACAGAGAAAATGAAAGCTTGAAATTATGGAAAGTAGAAGCTTCTAAGAGTTAGGGTTAGGATTTGGGAGTAGAGACCGAGAATATCTAGGAAAAATGTGAGGGATTGGATTTCTAGATTACTAAATTTTGGAAGGCCCGCACCTTTTTAGCGCCTCATCTACTTATTTATTGAATTTTCATTATTTTTATACCTATTTAAGGGCCTGTTACAATAGGTACATAGCTATTGTGACGTATGTGATGCTAATGTAGCACATGGCATAATTTCGTTACAATATCATACTTTCTAGTTAACAAAATGTAGACCCATTACAATACACTCCTTTTATGTAACGACTTAAAAGAGTGTTACATTATTTCCGTTACTATAAGCCTTTAAATGTAGTAGTGACGTAATATATGCTTCGAAAGTTAATCATCCAATAATGTAAATTATATAATTTATTTTAATATTATTATATCTTTTTGTAATTGTCACGCAGGTAGTTCTGCAAATTGCAAAGTTTACTTATCAAAATTAATGCAAAAATGACGTTCATTTTTAGTAATGCAAAGTTTAATTATTATGTTCATTTGTTTGTAAACATTTTCTTCAAACGTCGAGTTTAAAAATTTTAGAATTTTTGATAATGCAAAAATTTTGATCATTACTACATATTTTTCAACAAATGACTACATGGCGCAACGTGTTTAAACCTATAACTCCAATTTCCTAATTACGTAGAATGATTTCATTACTTAATTCATGATAAATTACCATATTAAGGTTTAAAGGATTTAAAAATGAGTGTGGCTTTGACTTAGGACGGCAAAATCCAGCCAGCTAACTGTCACTGTCACCGGGTCAAATCAATCGTACAATCAAGTACGATTTTTGTTGTACAGTACAACATTGCGACTGAGAACCATATATACCAAGTTCTGTACATTTTATACCAACGACCGCTACATTATCCGTAATGGGACAGCGTAACAAACTTTTTGTATTTGTATTGTACCAAAATAATACACTTATCCAAACAATCAGGACTATAATCAAATGAAATACAAACTTGAAATCACTCTTTCTTTCATTTCAATCGCATAGCTATGTTTCACTCCACTATAAGTTTTACAAACACATAATTACATGATTAATTGTTTATTTTAAGTAGTTAATTTCATTAGTGAAATTCATTTTGTGTTTTTTAATCATTAGTGGACAATTTTTTTACAATTATGTATTGTAAACTACGTGTTTAATAACAATCATCAAATTTTTAATTTTTTTTTTGTCTATTCATTAACACTAATTTTTGTCTATTTATTAAGCATAAGCATATAATTGCCTTAAACCCTTTTCAAGTTTTTTGGGCACACAAGTAAATCAGAAATATCCCCTTTAAATTTTAGTTTTCTTGTGTTCAATTTAGTTCAAAAATTAATATGGGGTTTGAATTAGGAGGGAAAATTCCCGCCCATAAATTCGTAAGTACACATCAATGTCACGGTCTAATCAGTAGTACGTATTTCTCATTTCAGCTGTCTTACAAAACATATCCCAAATTATTTGGCTTATATACCAACTATTGCTAAAATAACTAAATTTGTATATAGTATCCATTGTTTGGTATATACTTTATACCAAAGTTAACCACTGATGTTGTTATGCATTTCCTGTCTTCATCAACTTATGTTTTATTGAGCTAATATGTCACATATTGTATTGTAAATGATATAGTCAAGTAGATCGATCATTCTAACCTTCCACCACCGCACTGTAAAAAATCATCTCAACCACACTGTGAAAAGTAAGAATGGCCAAAAGAGAGAGGACCACCATGTCCATTACCCACTGTCTTTCCGCACGACAAATTGATAACAACAAATTCCTCTCTCTTAAATTGCACCCGAAAAATTGCTGCTACTTCCAAATAATCAGGCCAAATAAATCGGAGCTCAACTACACAGATTGTAAGTATTATGTTGACGAAACAGCTGCTATATTAGATGACTCCATTCCACATGAAATTGTCCGTGATGAAATGGTAGCGACAAGGGAGGTGAAGGATTTGATAAGGTTGTTTGGTACGAGGGCCAAGTTCATAAAGACAAGTGATGATAAGGTCACTCCTTCCCATGTACCACACATGGAGGACCTAGCTGATTATACGGGAAAACTTGTCGCTTTTTTTAACTGGTGATTTAATTCGCTCAGAGTGTGGAGGATACTCTGGGTCCTAAATTCTTACTCCCCTTATTTGATCTAGAGCCCATATTTCGGCCAGAGTTGACTCCTTGTTACACGTTACCTCAGGCGCCCGCCTATATGTTCATAGGATCATTCACGATTACGCTCCACGTAATGGTTATGGACTCCAAGGTTTATGACCTGTACATCAAGATGGAATCACTTGAACTAAGCAAGACAAAGAGAAGGTATTTTGCCATTAAGGTCATTTCTAGTTCAGTGTTAGCAGAGAATAGAGACCCTTTTGAAATTGAAGACCACATTATGTTCTAGAATGCCAGAGGCTTAACTAGGCGGTCGTCTTTCGTAAACAATTTCTTGAAAATCGATGATTACTTCAACCCAGCAGTCATTATAATTACAGAGAGCCTCTCTCCAGCTTCATTAATCAAGTGGTTATGGGAACAACTACCTCCTAGTTATGATTTACAAGCATTCGGAGATGATAATAGACCTGGAGGTGTTGTTATGGGATGGAATGCAGCTGGCTTTAAGCCACGATACTTCGGAGTTAATGATAGGGTTTGAAATGGGGTTGATGATGGGGTCACAGAGGTTTCACATCCAACTGGAGTGCATTTGTCATTTGCTACCCCCGCGCCTTGTTAACAAAACAAGGGGTGGTTGGCAGTTCATTCTGTTGTTCAGCTTGCTCAGTGTTTTTTCCCCCCACCATAGACTCCCTTCCAACCAGTTTACCTTCCTTCTCATCCAATCACTGTGCCATTACCCGAATTTGTTCCATCAGGACCTTAATCAACTCTTCAGATATACTGCCTCTAAGTACAACAGGTTCCAAAGCAACCATTGCCTTATCATACCGTTGCACCTCTTCTGTTTTAGAGGGATCATCGTATGCAACCTTTACCATGGTATGCTTTCGATGAATATCTTTCTGCCACCTGTCAAGAAAATATTCTTTTTTTGGGACCTCTTTCACCAAATGCAGATCCAACGCCTTCACAATGTGACAACTAGGTATCCCATGGCATTCAAAGTGCATGCAATCACACTCTGCAAACGACATATACAAACAGATTGAAACCACCACAGTGCGTTTCTTATCTCGAATAGGAATCTCTCTCTTGAGAAACTTAGACCACATCCATACTTGGTCCTCCATCACATGTTCAACTAAATTGTCCGATATGTTACTTCTGGAGAGAGGAGTCAAATAAATCAGCCTCTGGCATCAAACCTGAACTTCCTAAAACTTTACATCCGTGTACACTATCTGGAACTGATGCTCCATAGCTAAGTCAGACATTAAAGGGCGAACAAACCGTCCGGTGTTTGCATCAGCCTCCTGCTCATCCTTGGCCCTGCTCTCCATAGCCTTGCAATATCTGGGAGCAAACTGGAATAGCCTCGTGCTCTTCCTTACATACTTATCAAAGAAGCTGTTCATGCTTTCCACTCTCTGGGTTGTTTGCATTCCGGCCCAAAAAACATGTTTTAGATAAGCCGGGATCCACATCTTACGCTCCTTAAACAAACCTGATAATATTTTTCTCCAAACAGTAAACAATTACACAAGTAAACGTCGGAGCTGAAATTGAACACATAAAAAATAACACATAACTAACCTTCCAACCAAGATTAACATAAAAAATAACTACATAACTAACCTTCCAACCAAGAGTAACATTCTTTTTCCTTCAGCTTGTACTCCTCCATGACACCCATCCAAGATGCCTCAAACTCCTCCGGAGTCAACTGTCGTATATAACATTCTTAAGCACCTCCTTCAGCTCTTGATATTTGGATAAAGATCCAAGCTTGTGTGCAAATTTTTGCATGATATGCCACATGCACCACTGGTGATACTTAGTGGGCATTGGAAATAACTCAGCGATTGCCTTTCCCATTGCTGCATCTTGGTCAGTCATGATGGTAGCCGGGGTTCCCCCCTACAAGCGAGCCAAGTCTTAAACAACCACACAAATGTGTCAGCATCCTCATGAGACACCAACGCACAACCTAATAGCACACTTTGATCGTGATGGTTAACACCTACAAAATTATAAAAGGGAATGTAGGTTGAATCAAAACAAACCACATCACCAAAATCCCGATACGCAACTCTACTACGCGCATTAACCCACATGATATCCTTCAACCTCCCCAACTCGTCAGCCCGATGCATATGGTAAAAATTTTGGTTATCTTCAATCATTTTCTGGAAATAATCAAGCATAGCCATCGCATCTCCGTATTTCAACATCAACCGTGTCTTCCTAGTCACAATGTTATACATGTCTTTTATTTTTAAACCCCTATATTTTCATATCCATTTCTCTGGTGTGCTAGATTATTGTAAATATGAGGAATAGAAGACCTGGCCCCATAATCATTGTCAATTCTCTTCTCCACCGCCTTGGTTATTTTATCTTTTTTGTACATTGAAATGTGATTTGAGTCTTAGGGTTTCACCGTGTGGTTATGACTGTTATTTACATTAACCACCTTCCATTCACCAAACTCATTCGTTGACGCATAAAACTAACAGGACAGTCACACTTCTTAGACTTACTTTTCAGCAAAGGGTCGTGTGTCACAACCACCTTCTTGCCATTTACTACCCTCCTATACTTTGTTGTGCCATAGGACTCACACTTCCACACATAATTGCAGACAGTTTTTGACGATGACCCATCCTTATTAGACATCCTGCCACCAGCACACACCACACCAAAAACCTTCCTGCTTCCCATACTCCCTATAGTAACACTAGTAGAAAAAATGAAATAGGCACCGCACTTTTCGCACCGGTTCTTGAAAACCGATGGTACAAGAAATGGGCGGGATTGGGAAAAAGACTTTTTGCACCGGTTCCTATTAAACCGGTGCGAATTAAAAAAAGGGAAAAAAAGGGAGAAAGGGATTTTGCACCGGTTCAGACCAAACCGATGGGAAATAGTGTTTTAGCACCAGTTCAAA